GATTGCCTAATGCCTTATCTCTTCTAGAAAGAGTTCTATCCCTAGGTTTGAATTCCTTCAGGAGATAACCAATAATAATAATAATAATAATAATAATAATAACAACAACAACAACAACAATAATAATAATAACAATAAGAATAATAATAATAATAATAATAATAATAATAATAGCAATAATAATAATAATAATAATAATAATAATTAAAAATATATATATATATAATAATAATAATAAAAAATAATAATAATAATAATAATAATATATTCTTCTAGTATAATGAAGATGAATATATAGCATATCTGGTGTGTGTTCAATTGAAAATTGTGTTAAGTAATTAAATTTACAAATTCATAGATCAATCTAAAATCTTGTATTAAAATTTTTGTCTCTACTTTTAGCTAAAATCTAAATATAATTTACAAAGCATCTTGCAACCTTTTTAGCACTCATCTTATCTTTATATAACAAAAAAAAAAGTTAAAATTATTATTTTTATTGATAAGTTTAAAAGATTTAAAAATCTATAAATTAATTAATAAATAAAGTTTAGATGAAGTGGGAGAGAAATAGGAGAGTAGACTACGTGCATTTAGTTGATATGTAATTTCTTAGTTTTTTTTAATTAATAAATTATTATTTTTTAAAAAGTCTGAAAATTATTAATAATATATAACTATTAGTATTTATTATTTATCAAATTAAAATTAATATTTCTTGGAGATAATTTAAAAAAAAATACAAAAAATTTGATAATTATTTTAATGATGACATGTGACATATTTTGTAAAATACAGATTTATAATATTTTCAATTTATTCTTTTTAAGAAATGATAATTTGAAAACATTTTGTTGATGACATATTTTTCTTATTTACAAAATACTAATTTGAAACATTTATTTTGTCTTTCCTATTGTATAAGTAGAAGATTAATATATATATATATATATATATATATATATATATATATATAGGGAATTTTAGGGATGATTTAGGTTAGTTCTTTTTTTTATCTTTAACTTATTTTTAAAAAAATATTTTACCTACATTTTTTTAACTATTCCTTTATTATAGTTTTATTTTTTCTTCTTTTTTCGTAATTGTTTTTATTGTTTATATGTTTTTTATCCGTTTATACTTTGTTATAAAACTATCAAGTGACTTGATATTAGATTGACACTTAGAAGAGAATAACCATTTTATAATTTTTTGAAATCATCATTACTAATTATAATAATATTTTTGTTTAATGTTATGTGCATAACTTTTGAATATTATCAACCGGAAAAATGATTTTCGCACATTATTGTTAATACATTATAGAATTATTATAATAACTACACCACAAATTGAGATCAAAATATTTTAATTTCAAAATTATTAACCATATATAAAAAATTCAGTATACATTATTTTGATGTTAAGATTAATAAGAATAGTTGCAAATTATCTTGTCACTATAAAGAATGTTGTGGAGATTAATAAGGATAGTTAAAAAAAAAAAAAAAGGAAAGTTAATAAGGACTACGCATGTTTTTAATTTCTTAGTATTTTTGTAATTAATAAATTGTTTTTTTTTTTTTGAAAATCTGCAAATATTAATAATATATAACTATCAATTTTTGGTTTTGGCAGTTTTATGTGACAGTTTTGATATAATTATTTATCAAATTAAAATTATATTATTTTGGAGATACTTTTTTAAACAAATATCCAAACTGAAAATTATATAAATATTTTAATAATTTTTTTGTATAAATTTTTTGTCATCTTTTGCATGTATTTTATTTTCCTTTGTGATACACTGATACTGTAATTAGCTTTTCATTTTTATTGTGCCATTTAAAACTTAAAATATCAGACTAAAATTTGTGAATTGAGTTCGTATGAAGTGTAAACAATATTTTTTTTAATCATTATTTTGTACATCTTCTAGCAATATTTTTAAGATTAATTAAAATAAATATTATCATTTGATATTTCTTCTACTTTTATTTCATTTTGTCTATTTTTTATATTACATATTATGATACGATTTTTTTTAATTATACTGCATATAAATTATGACTTATTTGGTTTAGCTTTTGTGTATATTAAAATATTTTGTTAGAAAAATATTATTAAAAACAAAATATCCCTTTCTCTAATACTAACAATTTGGTTTAGATTTTGTGTATATTAAAATACTTTTTTAGAAAAATATTATTACACGAAAACTATTCTTTTCTCTAATACTAACAAAGTACCTTTTTGAATAAATTAACATTGTGTTTGTAGGGAGAATATGCAAATTTTAGTTTTTAAAATAGAAACATTACTTGAACTATCAGTCAGGAAGATTTTTTTTATTAAAAAATATTTCTTTTTAAAGTGGAGAAAAATAAAATTACTTGACATTGTTATAAATTTGAAAGTAGATGCAGGAAGAAATTTAAGTATTGTCATATCACATATATTTTAATGGTATCCAATCATCTTTTCGTTATTTATTTATTAATTTGATCTACATGCATATTTCAAAATAATGAATATTTGTAGGGAGAATATGCAAATTTTAGTTTTTAAAATAGAAACATTACTTGAACTATCATTCCGGAAGACTTTTTTAATTAAAAATCACTATTTCATATATATTAAAAACTATTTATTTCAAGTGGAGAAAAATAAAATTACTTGACATTGTTATAAATTTAAAAGTAGATGCAGAAAGAAATTTAAGTATTGTCATATCACATATATTTCAATGGTATCTAATCATATTTTTATTATTTATTTATTAATTTGATATGCATGCATATTTCAAAATAATGAATACATTTTTCTGCCAACAAAAGAAAAAGATAATAGCCAATTAGCCATATATAAGTTAATATACCAATAATTTTATTTTATTTTAAAAAAAAATAACATATATGACACAACACAATATTTTATTTACACAAATAGTAAATAATATCAAATAAAAACACTCTTGTATATTCATGGTCATTCCTTAAGTTATTTGATAATTTTATTTATATTTCAAATATTCATTACGTATTTAGGAGAAATTCATATTTATTGCATCTATAAAAGCTTCGTATTCCTCCTTTACATATGTGACGTTGGAACAAGAAGAAGAAGAAGAAGATGGGATACAATTGCAAGATGGACAAATTAAATTTAGCACCCTTAGAATATCTTTCAAAAGATTGATTTTTTTTCTTAATTTATTATATGATTTTAAGATGGGATATAATTTGTGCCATGCCAATATAAATTATCCAATGAATTTATCCCTGCAAAAACATGAAAAACAAATCAATCAGATATTAAGTTTCATCAAATAGAGTCAATTCATTGTGAAATCATCATAAATTATTTATCACTTATTTAAAGAACAAAGAAAAGGAGTAGCCATTATTTTAAGCAAAAACAAAAACTTAAAAAAAAATCCAATTATCTTTTGCTAATATAGCAATACCAAACAGAAGGAGTGAAAAAGTCAATCGACTGTCTGGATATACGCAAAACGTAACTTTGAAGTATAAAATTCAAGTGACTATTAGAATAATCATATTTTTTACGGAATGCTCGGATTAATTTTCTATCACAATCTTCATAATTCTCGCAAATAACCTAAAATTCATAGTATTTAAACCTGATCAAGTGATTCATCAATATATGCCGCTCGTTTGATAGTACCATGAAATAAGTTTCTTCTCTTAATGCCGAATAAGAATACTCTTGGATTGCACTTTATTTTTTGCTATTTTCTCTCTTGTTCTCTCATCAGTTCTCCACAAATATCAGAAGGTGAGGATATATATATTTAATGTTGAGATTGACAAAGTAAGTTGTAACCACCTTATTTTAAAAAAAAAAATCAATTTTTGAATTTAAAATTTTGATTATTTTTTGTTGTTTTATTGATAAATTTAAACAGTTAAAAGTCTGCAAATTAATTGACGTGGGGAGAGGAAAGTGGGCTACGTGTTGCAGTAACTGAAGTTAAAGTTAATTTTTTATTAATAAGTTTATGATTTTAAAAATCTGAAAACGGAATACACATGTTTTGGCAATTTTATTTGACAATTATTTTGTATTATTTTTTAAAACCTAATAATGTAGTTTATTTTATTTTGGCTTAGTATTAGATTTTTTTTTAACAACTCCCCATATTTCTCTTGTTGCACAATCCACCTATCTTAAATTTTCATTTGAAATCAATAAAAACAATTTATTAATATTGATTTTTTAAAAATAAAAAATTGTGAATATTAAATGATAACTAATAACTATTTATTAATTAATCTAAATATGTATTACTATTTGGATGAATGGAAAATGTTTCCATTATGTACAGTTTTCCGTTCTTTTTCTTTTCTTTTAATTTTAATTAATTTTAAGAATTAAAAATGTTGTTTTTTCTGGTTTAGACATGTGTCATTCTAATTATTGACATGTGTGTATATTTATTTATTTAATTAATTAATTATCAATAAAAATACAACGGAAAAAAAAAGAATGAAGAAACAGAGACGGAGAAAAGAAGGTGAAAATACTTTCCAATTTCAATCTTGAGAGAGTCTGAGTTGCAGGAGACAAAGATGAAAATTCACAATTGAAAGAGCTTTCTTCAAATGAGTTGTGTTGTACCGTACATAAATTTATTTTCTTATCCAATCAAATTAGGCCAGAAAGGGCCCAATATGAGAGGGGTTCCACCGTAATGGCTTTTGTACAATGATAAAGATGTTGTGTTAGTCCTTTTCTTGTTCACTTATCAATAATAAATCGTTATATAACAACAATTTTAAGCAACAATCAAATTATAGTAGTTGAAGTAACAATAACAAGTCACATGAATGTTCGTTCACATAGAAAACATATGGAGATTTGACCTATTGATCATCATAACAAAAACACTTGATCTTTAAAACATCACAGGGCAGTTTAGAAGCCAAATCCAAACATTGTTTGTTGGAGTTCCAGGAAGTGGAATGGGAAAAAAATCAAAGGGAAAAGAACATACATATATGAGACTAAAGATCCATCTGCTATTACAACAAAAATGACGGAGAAAAAGAATGCATATCATATCAACTTCGAGTGTAATAAACAATAAAAATAAGTTTTGAGCTATACATACTATTTTTCTTCCTTGTTTAGTTCCCTTTGCCTTCATCTTCATTCAAGATACGATTGCGGAAATCATTGACCATGAGAGGAAGCCCCTCTTGCAACGATATTTTTGGTTCCCAGTTTAGTAGCTCCTTTGCTTTGCTAATATCAGGTTTCCTCTTGTGAGGATCATCCGCGGTGTTGGCTTTGAACTCAATAGTGGCACTCGGATCAATCACTTCTTTCACCACCTGTTCATTACATGTTTCATGCTCTAAGATAAACCACATGAAGTAAACATATTAACAATTTGATTTTTTTTTTACATTACACATTCCATCAACTGTAATTTTATTTGAAGAGTTGGTGCACACCTCAACCATTCCACCAAGTACCGAGATTTTTATTTATCAATGAGCAACATTCACCACTACAAATAGTATTTGTAGACATGTATACGTGCATGACTTACCCCAGCAAGCTCCAACATGGTGAATTCTCCTGGATTTCCCAAGTTGAAAGGGCCAATGTGCTCACCCTCCATGAGGGCCACCAATCCATCAACCTTTCATCAAAACAAAGTTAACTATCTTTAATATGTTCAGAATTCAATACAAAGAAGCCTATCTTATAGATATCAAGATTCCCTATCAAGTTTATATAGTGAAGTTTTTGAATAACACATCGATCAATCAATCAACCAACCAAATCTTAGTCACAACTTAGTGGGATCGACTATATGAGTCTACCTTGTTCATTCTGCTTGATTTAGGTCAATTTTATTCTAATACTAAATAATATGTCTTTTAAGAAAACATATGGGTTTTGCAAACTAGAAGTTCTTTAAATCTCACATTTTATCATACACACATACAACTCTCCAATCACAATAAATAAGAAACAGAAAAAGCTTTTGACAAACGTTCGAGCTATTGTAAGTGTAAGAACGAACTTAATCTCAAAAACTATCTGGAATGGCCTACATGAATTATTTTCTTCCAATGTGTGCTTCAGTTAGAAGAGTCCACGTTAGTTTTGATAGATCGTAAGCCTGCTGAGACAAGTCCCACGACGCGATTTTAGGTCTATCTCATTCCCCTTTCTTTCTTATTTTTTGATAACCAAGAAATCCGTCTGTGACCCGCCCTTTGGATCAATCACAGCCTTCTAAACTCGGTGGATAATGGGCCCGCCCCTCTACCCTTCTCCACTTAAATACCGGGCTTCGCTTTGCATGGTGTGGGGCTTGAACCTGCGACCTAAGCCACAAATCCTCCACCTTTTGCCACTTGAGCTAGGCCTTGGGGGGCTATCTCATTCCCCTTTTGTTGCCTCCAATTATCATATAGTCATATCTACTGACCAAGCATATAGTATGCATGATAAGCCAAACCGTCTCAGGCGAACTTCGGTCATTTTATCCTTCGTGTATGCAACTTTCACCAAATGTGGAGTGTTATTATTTCAAATCTTATCCAATCTTGAACTGCATTTCTATCTTAAGCATTTGACATTTATCTTGTGGATATTGGAGTTTAGAGGTCCAGCATTTGCTCTAATATAACATTGCTTTTAAGCTCAACATTTCACTCCCATAACATCGCTGGCCTTTTATTTTGATTGTGTGTTACATATGCAACTATTGTGCCATTTTCTGCGATCACTGCGCCTAGATATACAATCTGCATTTAGGCACCAAACCTCATATATCTCACTTCACCTTTATTTTTTCTAGTGAAGCTGAAGTTACATTATTCTACATTGTATATTCTCTAGAGTTAACTTTATAGTTTCATTCACAGGATATTCCATCTCGAAACAACCCCTTTATATTTAGTAAGCATCATATCAAGTTGGGAGGATCATTCAAAACATTTTTAGGATTTTGACTAGTATTTCCCAAACATATGATTAAAGACCATCTCTCATCCAAAGAATATTTGCCACGATTTATTTATTTTATTACCATGGTGTCTAGGCCAGTATGCACACACCTCGACTAATTCCATGGTTCCACTTCCCACCACCAATTATATGGGATACCAGCCACCTCCCACCGGCAACAGGTACCAGGTAACTCCGTCCACCAAGGCTAGAACATATGAGAAGAAATCACCTAGTCCTTTGTCTCTGCTGGAATTTGAGCCTGAGATCTCATGGTGCGCAACCCACTTCATTAACCACTAGGTAACATCCTTGGGTGCCCACTAAGATTTGAAGTGCATTAACCACTAAGATTTTGAAGTTCATTGGTAGGGAGAACATACATCTTTTAAAATCTAGCAACACATTATCTCTATTCACTGAACTTCAAATTTTTGAGGAAGAGACTCCATAAAGTTGACCTCTAGCCCAGTTTTAGAATTTTACTTCACAGTATTGTGATGCAAACTTAACAGAAAACAAGATGTTTAGAGCTAGAAAAGGAAGTAGGTTCCATTAAGGAGAGCATAGCGAGTTGCTCATAACATGGATTACAACTTCTACAGTTATTTGTCATCTAAACGACTGGAAGCTTTTCCTATGAAATTCAAAACACAGGCAATATACATTTAGGTCTTAAAGAACTCAAGGCTAGTTTCACTACCATCCGTACCACCAATGAACAAATCACTTCAAGAAACTAACACCTGCTATAGGCTATAGCAAACCTTGACCACCTTCAACCAATAACATCTATTGCCATCTGATGTCCATATATACATAGGTAAAAATAACATGCTAAGGCAGAGATGGGGAATGAGGAAGAGAACTCATTAAGATGAAGTACCAGATCAGAGACAAATTGAAAACTTCGAGTTTGCTTTCCATCACCATATACTGTCATCGGTTGCTTGCGGATGGCCTGCAAACATGGTTTTAGAATAATAACAAATACCAAAACAAGCTCAAGTTAAACTAAATGATATCTCGGGCTAATAGAACAAACCTGGGCAACAAAGTTGCTGACAACACGTCCATCATCTAGACACATACGAGGTCCATATGTATTGAAAATCCGAGCAATACGAACCTGCATACAAAGATTCTGAGCTGTAAAATTCTAGGTAATCCATGTGAAACATGCAAGTGGACGTTACCACTTACTATACCACTTAAAACTCTGTTTGACTTTTGCAAGTGGAAAGGGGGAGAGCAAAATACATAATTTGAAATCATACTGAATCTAATTGAAAAGAAAGAAATGACTTGCTACTTCGCTGTCTATATTCCATGCTCTCTCATCATCATAATATTCTGGAGTTTGTTCAACTTCTCGAAATCAAGAACTAGCAACAAAATAGGTTTCAAGTTGAACTTTCCAAATTTTCCTAGAGAAACACTACAATTAATTTGGATGGATAGCTACACACCTTCATTTTATATCATAAATGCTAGCAAGCATATCACATCTTAACATATGATTCTGATTTAAGTGTAGGCAGCTTCTTAGGACCTAGTTTTAGAATAAGCCATTTTACCTGTACGTATTACTTCCCTCCAACTTGAACTTTTCATTAAAGAAAGTACCATTCATCATAGAAAAATTTTACACCATATTCATCATAGAAAAATTTATCTTCTGTTACTGATACATACACGTTTACTAGAGTTGTAGAGTGGGCTCACAGAGTAGTACAAAGGTTGCTGAGTTAGTTATTATTACTGTGTAGAGGGGACTGTTGTTTAGTCCCTTATAGTTTTGTTATTACTTTATTTAGTTGCATTCAAGTCTTTTTCAGTCTTTGGGTATATTAGCTGTAACGAGATTTGGGAAAAGTATGAAGGAAAGCATTAGCTATTTGCTTCTTCGCATTTTCTTTTCTCTTCTTAGCTGTTAATTCTTTGAATTTCCTTATGAATCTGCATCACTTGCCATTGCTTTCTATGTTTCAAGAATGTTTCTGCTCAATCTCAAGAAGGGAATTAAATAACTACTCCTGCTCCCCAAATACTAAGTTCAGACATTTCTAACGGAATAAAAGGGTCACTTAATCTCCTCATTATAGGTATATACAACCTCTAGTATTCAAAACCTGGTCATTATAATGCTTTGTGGGCATAAAAGCATAAAAAATAGAGGTGAAGAGGAGATAATAACATGCATTCTACTATTCTAGTAAATCACCAAAAGTAAAGTAATTCATAGTGCATTTTCACACAGCATTTCAGGCGAAAGAGGCTGCATTTAGTTTTTACAGCACACAACTAAGCAGATAATTTTGCACAGAAGCACTGAGCTCCATCACATGTTATACTTATTTCTAAAAAGGCAAATCTTCATTACCTCGACATTTGCACCCCGATGGTAATCCATAGTCAAGGTTTCCGCAGTCCGCTTTCCCTCGTCATAGCAGCTCCTAACACCTAGGTGTTTCAAAACGCTCAAAAATCATTAAAAATCAGCTCAAAAAATACTTTTTATTGTTTCAAAAAAAGGAAAAAAGAGAACAGGATTTGTTAGTTGTTGCCCACCTATTGGATTCACATGACCCCAATATGTTTCCTTTTGAGGATGCTCAAGCGGATCACCATAAACCTCACTTGTACTAGTAAGCAAGAACTTAGCGCCAATTCTCTTGGCAAGCCCCAACATGTTAAGGGTGCCCATCACATTTGTCTTGTAATCACAGTTAAGGATCTCAAATGAATCGAAATCCAACAAACTAGTCAAAGAACTCTCATTTCCATAGCATTAACTAATGAAACCAAAAGAGATATTTATACATAAAGCCAATAAATTTAATTACAATTAGCCAATACATGATCTAGAAATTGAACTACCAGTTCTGACAGGATTATACAAATTAAATAAGCAAATCAACAAGCATTCATTTCCTTTATTGCTCGGACTCTTCAAATATGCCTCTGGGTGCGTGTCGGATCCATCAAAAGTAGTGCATTTTTAGAGGATCCAGCATGGGTGCAGCAGCATTTTTGGAGAGTTCGAGCAACATAGCAGTCAAGTCAGTAAGATTGAACTAAGTATCATGTAGGCACAGACATACACAAAAACAAAAGAGGTGTTTATACATAAATCTGATGAATCTGAAAAATAAGACAAGAAATGATTTAAGTAAAAAAGGATATAATAGTTTTGACAGGATTATACTTGTAGTGAACTGGAGAAGCAGGACAAGCCAAATGGTAAATCTGATCCACTTCCAACAAAATAGGCTCAACAACATCATGCCTAATAAGCTCAAATCTTGGATTCCCAAAATGATGTTTCACATTTTCTTTCCTACCAGTAAAGAAATTATCAATCACAATAACATCATCACCTCTCTTAATTAACTTATCCACTAAATGACTCCCCACAAATCCAGCACCACCAGTCACCACAATCCTCATCCTTTTCCTCCCAACCCCAACTGGCACCCTCCCAGTACCTCCATTTACCCTAAAGCTGAAATCTTTATCATTATATGAAGACAATGTTGACAAAGATTCATGATTTAAAGCATTATATGATCTGGGTATTGAAGAATGTGGTTCAGAAGACGTGCTAAGATGAGAAAGACTGGGTTGAATGATGAAAAAAGTTGAACCAATTAGAATACCAACAAGAATGAACAAAAGTCTTTGTTCTTTGAGGAGATAATTGATGGATCTGGGAAGAGATCTGTTTGGGTATTTCAAGGTCTTTGGTGAGTATGGTTGGGAATTGGGTAATTCCTCATCTCTTCTACTTGACTGTTTGTGCAATTTCATAGCTTTTGCAAATCAAGAATGATCTATATGGGAAATGGGGTGATGGTAAAGTGGAAAAAGATTCAAGATTTGTAACTGTAAGTTTGTGTATTTGTATGATTTTTGAGTGTTTTAAGGTCAAAGAATTGTTTGATTATTAATGTAAGAAGATGAAAATGATGTTGCAGAGAATTTGAAGAGTCAGTGATGATCATTCATGAGAGACAAAGAAAGAGCAACAGCCAATAGCTTATTAAATGGATTGGGCTCCCTTCCACATGGATTTAAGTCCAATTTCATATGTAGGCCCAATTGGGAAGATGAGTTTTATTTGTTTCCGACCCGATATCCATATTGGGGCCCAATAATCGAGTCGTGCCAAAACTCTTACTTTTGGAGTGAAGTGCTCCCTACCATATTAAATGAATCTCAAGTCTAACTCAACTTCAAAATCTAACTCAGAGAGGAACCGGACAGTGTCGGGTGAGTGGATGTGATGAAAGTCTTGGTTTTCCATATGCCAAATGGAACTTCTTTATCATGTTTCTATTCTTAAATCTCTAGTTAAGAATGGAAGAGTACTCATTTTGCGTGTCAAATAATCATACTCTTTGAGTAAAGTGCTCCAAATTATGTTAAATGATGGATTTTGGATCTAATTCAACTTAGAATCTAGCTCAAAGAGGGCTAGAACAGTGTTGGATGTGTGGAGATGATGAAAGTCGTGGGCTTCATTTTCATGATTCTACTCTGAAATCTCTAACTAAAAACTTTAGAGTAATTATCACCTCATCATAATCTGGTTGATTTTATGTTAATGTCCCTCTTTAGACCACTATTTAAATTTGGTCCCTATTTTTAAAAAATTTACATGTAGCCCTTCGAGAATTGTTCTTTCGGATAACAATAGACTTGCGTCTACTATTTGTCTATATATTATTCAATTTTAGATACAAAACACTATTAGTGCCTAAATTTTGTAATAACTTACAAAAAATTTTAGATTATAATCTAATGAGTTTTCATAATTTTTCAGTTTGCTCTAAATATATTTTTAAATAGTTTTGTACAAAATAAATAGGGAAAATTATGGATGATAACAAACATTTAGCATATATTAGGTACTATAGGTATAGTTTAAGAAAATTGTAATTCGCGATTATAGTTTCTCAAATTCTTGTTGTTCCCCTAATTTGTATAATTCGCTTGATTTGTATAAATTCAATATTTCTATAGTTCGATTCCTGATTGTAAAATCCAAAATTTGTATATGCTTACCCTAACAATTTGTATACGATTTATGAAAACTTCATAATAAATTACCCAGTTTGTATATTGCTAGCAAAATATACAAACGGATTTCTGAAAAATTTCTAAATGTATAAATATAGAATTTGTATATTTGCAAGCGAAATATACAAACGGATAAAAATAAACCGCAAGCTCCATAGCAAACGAGACTATAACTATGAAGCGCAATTATCAAAACTATAGCTATAAAGCTTTATTATGTCTATTATGTTTGTTATTTCTAAAATTTTCTCTAAATAAATATTAGAGTTATCTTTTCAAAATGGGCCATTTTGGGCTAATCTAATGATTGTATTTTGAGTTAGTTAGAAATTTATAAATGGCAAGAGCCAGGAAGTGGAAACCATCAAGCCTCCTTTGCTTCTCTCTAAAGATAAATAATTAAACAAAAAAACATGTGAAAAAAGTCTTGCATCGAGGCTTAATAATGATAAATTTGTTTTTGGGTCTTATTTATTTACACTTACATAAAATATCAGATTTAATAAGTTTGATTGTTTTTTTTTTTAATATATAAATTTTAATCATTCAAATCTTAACTATTAAGTGCATATTTTTTAATGTTACAAACTTACAATCACTTAATGAGCTCAAATAATTAAGATATAGAACAAATTTTATCAACATTAAGATGTTCATTTAAATGATTTCTATAAAGATTTACTGATTTCGTCCATTCACAGCTATGGTCATCACCCATATATTATCAATTGCTGCTACAACTACATATCACCCACAATCACTTTAGTTGTTATTCCCTACCATTAGTCGTTACCATCAATATTCACTATTTACAATCATCATCACTAACTATCAATCGTTACAATAACAATTAATATAATTTATTATCAATAATCATCATCATTAGTTATTACTATCATCCACCACAGCTAACACCACCATTATATCATCAACTTCTACTGTTAGTTATTACACACAATAACATCGTTAGTCAACATCTTCCTAAATCAACATGTACAACCATCATTCTTAATAAAAAAATATATTTTATTTTGGATACAATATAAGATTAATTTAGTATTTTATACATTTATATATTCGAACGCCTTAATCGTAGATGAAAAACTTAAAAACGACCACAGTGGGAGTCGAACCCACGACCTTCTGATCCGAAGTCAGACGCGCTAATCCACTGCGCTATGCGGTCGAATTGCTATTCAAACCTTACATAAAATATTAAAATACTTTAATATAATTCTCTCAACATTTTAGCATTGGTATATTTTTGTTTCCAAATTTGATTTGATATCTCTATCCTAATAAATATATTTATGCTAAAGGAAATATTGATAAAAAAAGATTAAATGAATATATACGATACTTGAACATTATGGATTTGAGTTTGAAAACCTTACTATAACTTATTTGTAACAGATATATACAAAGTTCAGATCAAAACTACTTGATTAGAATGAAATGATCATAATTAAATTGTGCATTCGCCTCCTGGATCAAAATATTTTAATTGAGATTGAGACTATAAAATTTATTAAGACAAGGATAGTATCAATGGCATATGCAGAATAATTTGTGAAATTGAGTCGACATCCGAATAAGTGAACAAATAAACAAATCAAAGATGAAACTTGATACTCTCTCCGTTTCAAATTAATTAAATTGTTGAGATATTTTTCATTTTTCAAATTAACTTAATTGTTCAATTTTCAAGACTACTTTTAGAATGTTCTTCCAATTTTACCCTTCACTAGTTAGTATTGGAATTAGTTATTAATTAATATTTAGTTATTTTAATCATAAATTTGATAATAATTAATAAGGATAAAAATGGAAAGTTACACCTAATTTATGTCTTAATCTTCTTTTTTTAAAGGGTGTAAAACACCTCAACAATTCAATTAATTTGACATGAAGGGAGTAATATTAAGAAAAATAATAGTTTTATAAGCATATTATTACAACACCATTGAACAAGTTTTCATTACTTAAAAAATACCCCTCCATTTTAAAATAAGTGAATTGTAAAAGCATTTTTCATAGTACTAATGATAACATCATTAGAAATATTCCCTTTGTTTATTTTTAAGGAAAATTACTGAAATACACGTCTTATGTTTCCTTATTTCTAATATTCCCTTCTATTTCTAAAAACCTCTAAAATATATCCCTTATTTCTCTCCTAATTCTAAATTATTTTATAATGTATTCGAACTAGTTTTTAATGTATCCGAACTAGTATTTAATGTATCCGAACTAGTATTTAATGTATCCGAACTAGTTTTAATATATCCGAGCTAGTTTTTAATGTATCCGAGCTACATATTATGTATCCGGTTTATTTTATAATGTATTCGAGCTACATATTATGTATCCGATTTGTTTTACTTTTTCAGGGATTAATGTAATGGCAAACTAAATAGGGATAAATTGTAATTTCATATTAAAACTATGTGATTCCTAAAATTTATACTTGTTTTTATTTGTTGATCAGTATTGATTTGATACACTTTTTAAGGAATAATAAATAGATTAATATATTTATCGTCTCATCCTTTCAACATAATAAATTCAATGCTTTGAAAAAAATATTAAAAAATGACTATATTAATAATGAAAATAAACTAAAAACTACGTGATAAATTATCCGAGGACTATAGTTAATTCTTACGGTCTCTTGGAGTTATAATTCCCATTCCACGATAACGATGTTTTAGACTTTATGTTATAATCCCTTTTTTATTAAGACAACAAAACAGACCCATTATGCTCACCAATATTTGCATTATTTATCAATGAATTCATTACGTACCATTAATATATAATAATTCATCTTCCAGTAATTTCAAATATATATGTCTAAGGTTGTTTGATTGGACTTCCTAACAATTAAAAGTGACAATAGATATTCCTTTCGAGTCAAGGAAATAATTCAAATTCAAATCGACAAACGATTGAGTGAACTGATGTATAAAAATCAACCAGTTAATTAGTCTTACAATTACCTTCTTTCTTTCACACACTGTATCAGAAACAAATTTATTCTTGAACTAGCGGCGCTGATCATGTTCATTTGTTCCGTCTTAGGCATACAAAGTGGTGTTTGAGTACTCTCATGTTGATTAATTATTAAGGTATTAGCTTCTTATATGCGATCTTTGCATAATGATTTTACGAGGTAATTTTAGGATTGAATTAAACATATAGTTCGTCTTTTTCACTTTAAAAATGAGAGTACAATTACAAACCCTAATGAGAAAGGAAAGAAAAGAACAAGAATTAAAAATGCAAATGTTACTTTCAAGAAAATGAAAAATGTAGCACATCATTGATCAATTATTTTTTGTTGTTATTTGTTATAATAAACCATATCATTAAAGAAAATGTTGAATATAGAATATAGATATATTGTATGTTGATATTTGAACATAGGGTAGCCAGTAAAATAATTCAACTATGGTCCAATATTGCCTTTTTAAGTTTTGACCAATCACTTTCTATATATTGTCGTGGTTTATGTTTACGTATATTACTTTGCTTTCCTTTTTTCTTGCTTATTTTCAAGATTTTTGAAAATCTAGCTAAAATTAAATTCAATAATTTTCCAAACCACTAATTATTTGCATTATTTGTCAATGTTCATGACGCACAATTTAATAAATAATATATATTAGTTCATCACTTTCAAATGGATTCGAAATATTCGTCAGATTACGTCGTTTGATTGCTTAGTTCCTATCAATTAAAAGAGGATGGTTGATTTCTATGGTAAAAGGAGTATTCAGAATTTCGAGATGATGGTTGTATTATTACAAAAAAGTGGATCTAAGATATAAATTTGATCGGTTTAGGTTCTTATCACTAGAATCATTAAAATTATAGGTCGAAATTAATTCTTATCTATTCAAATA